AATTGGAAAAGAGTTTCATATCAAAACAAATTAACATTTTGTTCAGAAAGGAAAGAAACATGGGGAATGGCCCCTTGCTTTATCAACCAAATTAATTGTTGTTGTTGATAGTTGAAATTTGCAGTTCTACATTTTATTAAAATGAAGACAACGAACCAATGAGCCGACAATATAACAATAGCCAGTGTAGAAAATTAATTTGTTAAAGAAGTGTTAGGAAAAGGAATCTCAAACAGAAAAGTTTCAACAAACAATTCAAAGGTTGAGGCAGTTGGAGAAATATGATAAAAAGGAGGAGGAGGAGAAGAAGAAGGAGAAAGAGAATAAAGAGAAGAGCAACAAAGATGATTAGGGGACTGGAGGCTAAAAGATATGAGGAATGGTTGCAGGAACTGGGTATGTCTAGTTTAATGAAAAGAAGGACTAGGGGAGAATATCTCAGGGGCTGCCACAAAGAAGAGGGAGTCAAGCTATTCTCCAAAGCACCTGAAGGCAGGACAAGAAGCAATGGGTGGAAACTAATCAAGGAGAGATTCAGCCTGGAAATGAGGAGAAATTTCTAAGCAGAACTACTTGCTTCCAGAAATTGTGAATTTTCTAGTACTGGAAATTGATAAGAAGTGGTTGGACAACCATTTGTTTGAAATGATATAGGGTTTCTTGCCTAAGCAGGGGGTTAGCCTTGAAGACCTCCAAGGTGCCTTCCAACTCTTATTCTATTGTATTCTATTGTATTCTATTCATATGAACCATGGAGATGGTGCAAAGGTTGCAACTATGAAAACCAGTCATAAGTCACATTTTTCAGTGCCGTTGTAACTTTAAACAGTCACTAAATGCACTGTTGTAAGTCGAGGGCTGCCTGTAGATGCAAACAGGAGTGCTTTGTAACAGGAGCTCCACCGGTTTCTTCTCAGTGACTCGCCAGGGACTGTTCTTCTGAATCCTTTTAGAGGAAAGGCTAGGATGGAAACTGGAAAGAGAGAGAGAGCAATTTCTTTATTAAAGCTGGTCCTTTTCCCTCCTGTACAGTAGGTCACATCCCAAACTTTGCTTATATCTGAGCAGCTCATCCTAAGCACAGGTGGACTTTGACTTATAATCATTTATTTAGTGACCATTAAAAGTGATGATGGCATGAGAAAAGTGCTTTGTGACCATTTCCCCCACATCCATTGCAGCATCCCTGTGATCAAAGCTTAGCCTGGCAGCTGATTCATATTTATGACAGTTGCCATGTTCTAGGATCACATTATTCCCTTTTGTCACCTTCTGACAAATCAATGCAGACGCCAGATTCACTTCACAGTTGTATAAGTAACTTTGAACTCTTGTGCTGGAGAAGACTCCTGCAAGACCCTTGGACTGCAAGGTGATCCACTGGTCAGTTGTAGAGGAGATCCACCCTGACTGTTCTTTAGAAGGCCAGATCCTGAAGAGGAAACTCAAATCCTTTGGCCACCTAATGAGAAGGAAGGACTCCCTGGAGAAGAGCTTAATGCTGGGAACGATTGAGCGCAAAAGAAGAAGGGGACGGCAGAGAATGAGGTGGATGGATGGAGTCACCGAAGCAGTTGGCGTGAGCTTAAATGGACTCCAGAGGATGATAGGGGACAGGAAGGCCTGGAGGAACATTGTCCATGGAGTCGGGATGGGTCAGACACGACTTTGCAAGTAACAACAACAAAGTAACTTAACTGCAGTGATTCACTTATCAACTTTGGAAAGAAAGATTGTAAATTGGGGTAAAACTCACATAACAACTGTCTCATTTAGCAACAGAAATTTGGCCTCAGTCGTAGCAGTAAGTTGAGGATTCCCTATAGTTTAGATTTTTTTTTCTTTTGCTACAGATCAGGCAGAAGAAAAGAGAGGACGAGTTCCACTTTTAGCAAGAAATCATTGTAATTTCCTGGATCAAATCTAGATATGAGCTGTTACTCTTTCTGATTGTTGAATGTTTGTTCTCTCGAAGGTCAACCATCATCTCCCGGAGAAGATCGTGATTTATAGAGATGGAGTTTCAGATGGCCAGCTGAAAATAGTAGAAAGCTATGAAATTCCACAGCTGGAGAAATGCTTTGAAGCTTTTAATAATTACAACCCTAAAATGGTGGTGTTTGTGGTTCAGAAACAAATCAGCACCAACATCTATTCATCAGTTGGTCAACAACTTTCAGCTCCTCCTCCAGGGACAGTATTAGACCATACAGCCACCTCTCGAGACTGGTGAGTGAAAAAGCTTTCACCCAGCACTTCCCCCCACCCCAGATCTCCCAGTGCCTTCTGGAAACCGCTGCTGGGAAGTGGGGAGTTTAAACCCAAAGGTGCTTTTGAGCTGAAGAAGCTTTTCTTGGATGAGAAGCAAAACATCTTCAAAGAAAAAACGCGGTTGCCTGTAGAAAAAAGAAACAAAACCAACCCCTCCCTTCTCACCTTTGGGACAATCATGATTTGAACGACTGAGAATCTCCATAGACTTGAGGAGTTTAAAATGTTTGTATTTTCTCCTTTCCTCCATGATAATTTTTTTCCCCCTATAGACACAGCTTTGCAGTAAATGCAAACACTGGGGTTTTTTATTTGTATTTATTAGTTTGTCAAACATGTACAAGATAGCAGGTATAAATATAAACATTGACATGAACAAAGGAAATGAGTACAAATAAATGGGGACAGGGATGGTAGCCACACTGCGCTTATGCACGCCCCCTTTACGGACCTCTTTGCAGCAAACAGCAAACAGCCTGGTCAACCTCAGCACTGATTTAGTACGAGCAGCTTATTGGCAGTTGGATCTGCCTCCTGGAATATCACCGATCAGCTGTTTCAGGCTGCGGGGGTCGCCTCCACACGCCCCATTTTCGGCCTCTGTGCATCCCGTTTTTGGCCCATTCCGGCAGTGAAAAGTGGCAGCAGTGATCCCCGCCACCTGGAACAGGCCAAAAATGGGGTGTGTAGAGGCCGAAAATGGGGAGTGTGGAGGTGGTGATGGCCGGTGGCGATCCCCGCAGCCTGTTACAGCTGATTGGCGGTATTCCGAGAGGCCAATCCAACCTCCAATCAACTGCTTGTGCTAAATCAGGCTGTGCTGAAGCTGACTAGGCTGTTTGCTGCAAGAAGGCAAATTGCTGGGAGGTAGAGGCCTAAGGGTAGGTGGGGCTTCGGCAACATTCGCTCTATAAGATGCACAGACATTTCCACCACTTTTGGGGGTGGGAAAAAGTGCGTCTTATTGACCGAAAAATACAGTAATTCTTTCTCTGCTGACAAGTTGATAGAGGTTCAACTCTGTTCTTTTTCCCCTTGTTTTTTTCCTGTTAGGGTGGACTTTTACTTGATAGCCCACTACTCGCCACAAGGTTGCGGCATTCCTACTCACTACGTCTGTGTGAGGAATACAGCCAATCTGACTCCTGATCACATGCAGAGGTGAGTGTTATGTTATCCCTCAGTTTCAGATTTTGCTTTCTCATTATACAGGAGGCAGAATAGGACTCTAATGAATACATAAACAAAGCGAGAAGTACTGAATGTAGCAAAAAGATGTTGGAATTGTAATGATGAAAGTTAAGATTTTTCTTCATGGGATTTTTAATATATTTTTAGAAACCACTATGTGTACAGCTTTGTTTCATAGTCAGTGAAGCAACCTGAATGAAAGGAGAGAGAAATTAGGATTTCCTTACTTCTTGGTTTAAAAATCAGTGCCTGGGAGGGGAGCCTCCAGCTGCATTATGCCTTTCTTTGCAACGTGATGGGATGGCCCAAAACTGTATCCTAGTTGCCTAATTGCCTGGGGCTTCCATGCAGCTCTTTAGCCAATATTTTTCTTCTCAAGCTTGAAGCAGGACAAAGGTGTTTAAACACAGGTGAAATGCTACCGGTTCGGGATGGTTCACCCGAACCTGTAGTAAGAAATGCTACCGATTCACCCGAACAGGTAGTAAAAATATTTATATATTTATATTCGTTAGAAATCGCGCGGTATAGCTGATTGTCACACAGCTGATTGTTTGAACTTTTAAAAAACTTTTTAAAGCATTTTTTTAAACTACCAGTTCAAGTGAACTGGTAGTAAAAAAAATGCTTTAAAAACTTTTTAAAAAAATTCCGATGGTCAGCTGTGTGACAATCAGCTGTGCCGCCTGATTGTTGGAACTTTGTTTTACATTTTTTTACTACCAGTTCGCCTGAAAGCAGGAAATCCAGCTTTCTAGCGAATCTAAATTGCGCAGCACAGCTGTCCCACCCACCCACCCCCACCCCCGCTGTTCTACTTTTGCAGACTCGGAAAAGGCTTCTTAGTGCCTGCGATGTGCATGTGAGCAAAGTGAACCGGTAGCAGACTTCAGAGCATTTCACTCCTGTGTTTATATATCACTTCCTTTCTGGCGTGACCCGTCAAAAGGGCGGAGGACAAAATCGCGCTCGACGAAAGCGCGCATGTGACATCATCACAGCGCGACGAAAAAAATTAAAAATGGAAATAAAATTAAAATTAAAG